TTTTGTGTCTTTCAGAGGAAGAAACTTAAACCAGACTGATGTGGAGCTGGAGTTTAATTCTGCCAGTCCTGGGAGGGCTGATGCCTCTGGCAGAGTCTGTCTGCTTCCTGCTCTCTGTCGGTTAGAGGTGGAATAAAGTTGAAGTCTGCATAGTCGCTTTCCTCGTGGCTCCTTTCAGAATATATGCCCTGTCCTCTCCTGTGGCCCTGGGACTCAGTGATCTCTCTCTGGAGCTCATAGCCCGGGTCCCATCGTGTGTCTTTTGGTGGTGGTGGACTTTGTGTTCCTGTTAGAAGGGGAGAGTGCCAGTATTTAGTTCTGGGAACCCTTGAAAGGAGCCTTTCCTGGCGGAAGGTAAGCCACGGAGGACACCTGTGCAGGGCCCTCAGGAAGCCTGCGAGCCAGGCAGGCCGTTGGCTTTCCATCTGGAAGCACAGGCACAGGGCATGGTTAGCTGAGGCCAGGGCTTGCCAGGGTAGGGGCTTCTCGGGAAGAAGACTGCCTTTGATGGTTGGGCACTGGCAGATCTGCCCATGGAGCGGCGGCCTGAGTGAGCGCTCTGGAGTGCAGGCCGTGGGCACTCATGCATGGATGCTGCTCTGTGCTGAGCGCTGTGGACAGCCCTGCCAGCATCACTAGGGTGAGCTTTCTGTCAGCGCACCTGAGCCTCCCGCAGAGCTGAAGCGCTGAGGAAGCAGGTGTAACTGATGGACAGTTCATGGAAGTACCCCTTTTGGGATTGAACCCAAGGGTGTACTACCTCTTAAGCTACAACCCTACGTTTGAGACAGTGTCTTCAGGTGGACTGGGCTGGCTTCAAATTTGGGATCCTCCTACGTCAGCCTCCCAAGTAGAATTATTGGCTGAGGCTGCTGCACCAGGCTCCCAAAATTAGAATTGTAATCAAACAGTCTCAGCAAGCAAACAGTAGTTTGGTGAGCTTTGGTGTCAGCCATACTGAAAAGAACAGAAAACATGCCTGAGTTTTAATGTGTAATGTTAAACACGACATCGTTGACATCATGACAGGTGCCGTAAACTTTGAATCACGGACAAGGAATCATCACATTGCCTCTTGCCAACCAGTGGCCCGCCCTGTCCAGCAGGATGAACTGGGCCACACAAGCGGTACTGTTCAATTCATTCTGTCCTCAGCCACCTTGAGGTGGCAGTCCTATCTTATTTTTGGTAGGTATTTTGCCTGGCCTGTCAGGCCCTGTAACTTTTTTAAATTAGTGTGTTTGCTAAACAGCTCCTGGTTTTTTGAGATAGGCAGTACTGCAGGCTGACCTTGGCCTCCAAGCACTGGGATTACAGGCATGCACCGCCACGCCCAGCTAGAGCTCCAAGTCTTGATCAACACATTCCTGCTTTGGACCTGCTATATGCTCAAAAGGTGAGGTCACCTTTGTGACTACGAAAGATGGCATGTGCTCTTGGTGCATACGTAGGCCTGAGTGGTCGGGAAGTTCTACAGCTGCATTTACTGAGAAAAGCAGCAGTCATGCCAAGCTGCAAAGTTCTTTGCAAACAGTGTGCTCACAGGAGCGCTCAGCTGCACTTTGAGTGATTACACAGTGCCCTTCTCTTAAGTTTTGGGCCTCCCCTTGAGCAGAGGCCCTGTTCTGTTCAGGTAAGTTGCCTATGAGCAGGCAACACTGCTGGGAAAAGGACAAACATGGTCCTTTACCCTGTCACTTCTTGAAAGCAGGCAGGAACTTAAAAGCCTTTTTGCTAAAATCTGTTCACAGTTATAGCTCAGTGGTCTAAGTGCCTGCCTCGAGAAGCGCAAAAATCCAGGTTCAGTCTCTGGTACCGCGTGCTGTGCCAGCCCTGGACCCCCCAAGTGCACCGTGCCAGCTACCAAAACCAGGCATGGTGGTACATGTCTCTCCTAGCTCTGGGTAGGCTAAGGCAGGAGGATCACCAAGAGTGCTACCTGCAGTTCAACTGCCTAGTGAGACCCTGTACCAAATAAGTGAATAAAAGATTTCTTTAAAAAAAATTTTCAATCTTGGACTGGCCTGATAGCTCAGCAGACTAAAGCACCTGCTTAGGCAAAGTGCAGTGGCTGGGGTTCAATCCCTGGCATGCCGGCTGGCCTCGCCTGTGGTACGCACTGAGACTTGAGACTAGGCGATGGGGACTGGGTGTGGTGGTGTGCACCTGTAGTGAGACCCTGTAGATCCTGTCCTAAATACATAAAAATAAATAAAAATTTAAATCTGTCCACAGATGACAGTAAAAGAACAAAGCCTGAGCATAGGTCAGACGTTCAACTCTCCATAGAGGCATATTAATCACTCAGGGAAGTTCGGTTTAAAAGTTTACAAAACAAGTCAAATGTGGCACACCTGTAATCCCAGCACTCAGGAGGCTGAGGCAAGAAGACTGCTGCAAATTGGAGGCCACCTTCAAGAACAAAGTGAGACTCCTAAAAACAAAATTTAAAAAGGTTGACAACACGAGGCTTTATTAGCTCTAAATTTATCTAGTCTATCTCTGTACCCTTCAAGAAAGGGCACCAAGGTAAGAAATTGTGACATTCAACTATGTCCACAATTTCCACTGGCAAACCAAAGGTCACCTTGGATCCCCAAAGACCGCTCCATGACTAAAGCTGCCCCTGAAGTCATGATGCTTCCTCTGTGAAACCAGGACTGAGCTCAGGATCTAATGAACCCTGGCCCACCACAGCACCCGCCGAAAGCTGGGTCCTGCTTTCGCAAATGCACCTGTCTGATCTCGTCACCAATGTGTGCTCTCATCTTCCTTTGCAGTTAAAGCGCTTGCCTGTAACCTTTTGTTTTCATGCCCTTGCTACCTAAGCTAGCTGGGGCACACAGGGCCAGGTGCTGCCCTGGCAGCATCCTTGTTCACGTCTGCTTTCTGCCACGCACCCTGTCCGTGGGTCTTGATTCCAGGCTCCACCTCTTTTAACAGTGATCTTGGAGCAGGACCTGGAGGCTGGACCTGCAGCTGTTGATTACCTTAGAACTCTGGGTCAGATCCCTGCTCAGCTCTGTACACAGGCATGTAAATCACTGAAGGAGTGCCTGGGAGCCCATTTACAGAGCCTATCTTTTTTTTTTTTTTTTTGGTGGGGGTGCAGAACTGGGGTTTGAACTCAGACCCTTGCGCTTGCCAGGCAAGCACTTGTTCTACTGAGCCATCTCCCCGGCCCCACGGAGCCTATCTTGAACTGAGGCCAACAAGATAAGAGTAACTTCCAGGGCTTGCGAGGACACCCACTTGCTACATCCCAGACCCCTGGGAGTAATGCCTCGCAGTCTCCAATCATTGTCCTAAACCTGCATCCAACTTGGATTCCAGGAAAAGCAGAGCCTCACACACCATCCTGTCATCACAGGATGAGGTCACCCCCCAGGCAGGAGCAGTTACCCCACCAGAGGAACCAAGCTGTGGCCCTGTACAGGAGCTTTCCTGATAGAAACCAAATTGTGCCCTGAAGCTATGATAGCTCTCAGAACCTCCACCAGTCCTCAGATACCAGTCAACCAGGGGCATCACCCACACTGCCAGTTATGCAAAACCTGAAACTAGCCTTGCCTTTGTTTCCCCCTTTCTGCAAAAACCCCAAAGTTTCTGCCAGGCCCTGGAAGCCAGGGCTTGAGCCTCTTTGTCAGGGTTTCTCAAGGCCACGCTAATCGTTAGCTCCTTTCCTGCTGTCACCACTGCCCACTCTTAGAGGCTAAGCCTAGTCTGTTGAGACTTCCAGAGCTGAGGCTTAGGGAACAATTTTAAGCAACCCATGTCTTCTCTAAGCCTACATTTGGCCAGCCACCCAGCTACACGTCAGAAACAAGCCTCCCTCTGACATAGGTGTTACAACGTGCAAGTGATAAGCAAAATGTAACTCCAAACTGCTAGATGTCAGATAAACCATGTGCGTATTCCCCCAAATCGAAGAATAAATCGTAAAGAACAACAAAGGTTAAAAGTAGGAAAACTTTGAGATAGTTCCTTAGACAGGAGGGAACTCGAAAGTGGATTGCCCACAAGTCCCATTTCTCAAGGAAAGTTTTACAGAGCAAAAGCATAAGGTGGGTACAAAATCATGAGGCGGGTACAATGTGGGACAACCTACAATGAACCAATAATGTGACAAGTCCAGCCCCTTAGGTGATGTGGATCCAGTGGGGAGTAATGCATGCAGCAAGTGTACATGGAAAGAACTAGGACCTTTTTTTTTTAGATATCAGTCAGGAGGTCCTGTCACCCACCTGAGCGACTGATGTCTATCTAGATCTTATTAGCCCAGCTGACACCAAATATAGTATACTCTTTAATTTCTTGTTCATCCCTTGGGGAGACGTGTAGACCTGGTCATCCTGCCTTTGTCTTGAGGCCTGGCCTTCCCTCTAGGACTGGAGCCCTGTCTGACTACCTAGAATATTTCCACCTAACTTTGTAATACTTTCTGTGCCTCTCCTGGCTGCTGGAAGCCCAGATCAGCCTTAACTGTTATTCCCTAAACAATATACTTGACCAGTGTAGCAAACCCTTGTCAACTGGTTTATGCATTCCAGTTGAATTCACCACCTTAAGATTCTAGTTCCCCAACACGGTGCCCAGCCAAGTTCTTCCAAATTACTTAGTCTTGGGCTACACTTTGGGGGTAATATCAAAACTGGGATTTTCTCCAAATATGTGTCCCCATCCTTCACGGGAAGACAGGAATTTAAAAAACCATGCTGCAAAGTGAGTTCAAGGCCACCCTGAATTACATAGCGAGACCCTGTCTCAAACAAAACTTAAAACAAAACAAAAAAAAAACCTCCCACACCCTGTCCCACCCAACCTTGCATTCCAGACAGCCAACCCTGCCCGGTAGACCCGCCACAGCTCCTAGCCCCCACCCCCACCCAACCCCCTCCGTGCAGACTGGAGCACGTGCGCGCCTCTCCCACACCAGCTCCAGGCCAGCCCCTCCCTACGTGCGGCACGCTGGGCACGTGACCCTGGCCCCCGCCATTGGCCGGGCTGCGGGGAGGGGCGGGGCCGCAGTAGCGGCCAAATGAGCCCCCGCGTCCCAATCTCCCGCGGCCTGCCACCGGAGTGCCGGGGCTGTTGGCAGGCCAGGCCTCTGCTGTCGGCGGGCCGGCGCGGGAACGCGGCCTGGGCACAGCGAATTCGCGGGCAGCTGCTTCTGGCGCGCTCCTGCACAAACAGCAGGGCTACCTTGCGGGTGCGTTCTGTGGCTGCAGGTGTGCTGGACGTCCTGGTCACGTGACCCGGGCGAGTCTTCTGGGCCACACCTCTGTCGGGGTCTAACCAGGGGGGGCAGAGGTGTGGCGGTGGATATCAGTGCTCCGTTGGGAGTGTAGTGCCGGGTCAGAGAGAAGGATTGCGGGAGATACCTGCTCTGCTCCCGAGTGGAGCTACCCTGACAATACGGAGGGAGAGGAGACTCTGGAGATGGGGTGCAGAGGTCTAGGACGCCTGCGCACCCCAGATCTTACCCGGAGAAGACGAAGCCCCGGTCGATGAGCTCCAAGGCCCGCGCTTCCTCTAACCGGGCGTGCCTTCTCGGAGCGCCGGGCTCCCGCCTCCTGCCAGGCCCGGAGGTGCGAGGCCTCCCCTCGGGTCTGCCGCAGGATGAGCCTCTCCGCTGCGCTCGGGGGCTCTCTGGGGCTGCTTGTGTGCCTCGCCCTGCACCCGGCCCTGGGCACACACACCAAGCGGGACTACTGCGTGCTGGGCGCGGGCCCCGCGGGGCTGCAGATGGCCGCCTTTCTGCAGCGCGCCGGCCGGGACTATGAGGTGTTCGAGCGCGCGCCTGCAGCCGGCAGCTTCTTCACGCGCTACCCGCGGCACCGCAAGCTCATCAGCATCAACAAGCGCTACACAGGCAAGCGCAACGCCGAGTTCAACCTCCGCCACGACTGGAACTCTCTGCTCAGCCCGGACCCCCGGCTGCTGTTCAGACACTACTCGAGAGCCTACTTCCCTGATGCTGGCGACATGGTGCGCTACCTGCGCGACTTCGCAGACCGGCTGGGGCTTCGTGTGCAGTACAACACAGACATTGTCCATGTCACTCTGGAAAAGGACCGGCGGGCCTGGAACGGCCACTACTTCATCCTAACCAACCAGAAGGGCCAGCTGTACCGATGCAGGTAAGGTGCCAAGGGCATTCCGTGCTCTGCTCCCACTGATCCTCCGTGCCTAGAGGTTCAGCTCAGTTACTGTCTCTCAGCTTGGCGCCCTTAAAAACTTGGGGTCACAGGGCTGAGGAGATAGCTCAGTGGAGTAAATGCTTGCCTGGCAAGTGCAAGGTCCTGAGTTCGATCCCTGGTACCACCAAAAAGAAAGAAAGATTCACTTTAAGGGGCCAGGGAGATGGCTCAGTAGAATAAGTGCTTGCCTGGCAAGCGCAAGGACCTGAGTTCAATCCCTGGTTCCGCAAAAAAAAAAAAAAAAGTTGGGGTCAAATGTTTGGAAAATGCTTACAGCTTTCTTCCATTGGGATTTGTCAGTCTTTCTGTTCACTTGTGAGTATTCGGTGTAAACACAACTTTTGTAGCCACAAACCCTTTTTCTAACCCTCATGGAACTGCTGTTCCCAAAGGCCAGGGGATGTGGGATCCAGTGTCCGCTGAGTATTAGGCCAGCCCAGTGGGATTTCAGAGCTCAAGAGTAGGAGGCTCAGCATGCAGCCTCCGAAGGCCAGTTTTAGTCAGGCATGGTGGCACTCTTCTCTAATCTCAGCATTCAGGAGGCTGAGGCAGGAGGATGTCCATGAATTTGAGATCAGCCTGGGTTACACGGTGAATTCAAGCCCAGTCTGAACTACACAGTGAGACCCTGTTTCAAACAAAACAAAATAAAACGTTTTGACTTAGAATGCAGCCTAATATCTTGTGTGCATTTGAGGGAGGCACCCGAATCTTCATAAGGAGGGGAGGAGGCCTGAGGCTCAGAGAAGTTGAGTAATCAGATGCTGTCGCACAGCGAATACGTGTTGGTGCTGCGATCTTGAGCTCGTGTTTTCTTAGTTCAGAGTTCATGTTCTTTCAGCTGCAGCCAGCTGCCTTTGCCTTCCTGGTCATAATTTGCACCTGGCTCCAGGCCCTGCTGGACGGGCCTGGCACAGCTTCTTGCCATTTACACCTGAGGCAGGAGGAATTGTGCCAGTTCATATTCATGCATATTAGGTGGCTGTGCCGCCGTGGAGGAGAATCTAAGAGGAGCAAAACAGACAAGAAAATGATTGTATGTGCCCCATCCCCAGGGCAGTCCATTCTGCTCTACAGGCTGTTCTACAGGCTGGCAGGAGCAGTGTCCCTGCTGCGCACCACCAAATTGCAGTCACCCATCAAGGAGCAGGACACAGGACAGACTGATCTGTGTGTAGATACTGGGCCCGCTGCCCTCGCAGTCCCTCTGGGCTGTGGGCTGTGGATCCCGTGTCTCCCCACCTGTAAAGCTGGCCACGGAACACCAGCCCAGGCTCGCTTGGGAGCAGATACCGTGATGCACACACAAACCCATGAGCAGAAACTGGGCTGGCACCTGAGTGCTGCCAGGCAGATGCATGTACCTGCCGGGCACGATAAGGGGAGAGCGCGACATCAGGCTCCGTTCTCATCCCCCAGCAGGGTGCTTAGTCCCACTGCTGGGCTCAAAGTGAACATTTCTCAGCTTCTCCTACCATTACCTTATCCCAACAGTGATAGCAATCCCCTCATTTGTTGCAACTCAAGCCCAGCAGGAAGTAAAGTATTCCACTGGGCCACAGGCTCAGGGGGAAAGGGGTGGTCTTTCAAGCATCCTGCAGTGTGTCAGTATGGTGAGTGGATGAGTGGATGGATGTGCTCCTGTTTCTTTAGGCACCAGCAGTTGAAGTGAGGTGGGAGAGGCCAGAGGGATGTGCACTAAGTGATCTGCGTCTACGGGAATGAGCCATCTTTCCTCTATCCTCCTCTCACCCCACCCCCTGCAGCGTCCTTCTTGTTGCCACCGGCCTGTCAGTCCCCAACCACGTGGACTTCCCAGGCTCAGAGCATGCAGAGGGTTATGAGTCGGTATCTGTGGACCCTGAGGACTTCGTGGGTCAGAACGTGCTGATCCTGGGCCGGGGTAACTCGGCCTTTGAAACAGCGGAGAACATCCTGGGTGTCACGAACTTTATCCACATGCTAAGCCGTTCCCGGGTGCGGCTGTCCTGGGCCACCCACTACGTTGGAGACCTCAGGTACGCTGTATCCCTGCCTGTGCGTTCCGTACCCCGCATCAGACTGTCTTGCATGACTGTGATGCATACCTGAGGCTGGGCAGCTTAGGAAGAGAAGAGCTTCCTTTAGTTCATCGTTCATCCATGGTGCTGGTTCTAGTAACTCCACCTACTCCCAGGCCTACATCACCTCCTAGCAGATGGCATCATGGTAACAGTAGTGCACAAGAGAGGGACATGTCACATGGTGAGAGAGGAAGCTGGGACCAGGGCAGGGGCCAGGCTCATTTCTTTCATGACAACAGCCTAGCTACTACTCCTGGGGGTTTTCCATGAAATGCGTGCATCTCCTCCCAGAAGACTCTAGTGGCCTCCCACCAGGCCCTGCATCTTTAAGGTGCATTGCCTCCTGGCTTACCGCACTGGGGAGCCAGCTGTCCACACCCAAGCCCTTGGGACGCACCACATCCAAGCCCTTACCAGCCCTGCTCTGAGTTCCCTTGTCCTCTCCTTGCATTCTTTTGGGCCCCAGAGCCATCAACAATGGCCTGCTGGACACCTACCAGCTGAAGTCCCTGGATGGGCTCCTTGAGTCGGACCTGAGAGATCTGGCCATCGTGAAGGACGCCAGGGGCAAGTTCCACATCACCCTGAAATTCTTCCTGGAGGAGACCAATGCCAGCCAGAGTGCCAACGCCATCCCCCTCCCCCAGGATGACAATGACAATTTTGCCATGCGGGTGGCCTACGATCGGGTCATCCGCTGCCTGGGCTGGAACTTCGACTTCTCCATTTTCAACCAGTGAGTCCAGCTTGGAGAGGTCCCTTCCCCTCCCTGGGTGATGGAGTGGTCCTCGGTGAGCCAGAGACAGGAGCTTCGTCCACTCTCAGTCCCGGGTGCACAAGCTCCTCAGAATCTCCTTCTCCACCTTTGACATGGTCAGGCCAGCTCAAACATGTAGTGCTGAACTTGCACAAAGGCTGGCAGCGTAGGGGCTTAGACCCAGGCTCCAGGTCAGCCTACGGGGCTCTGCTGACCCCGTCTGCAAGTGTAAACAGGCTGCTTTCCCGCAGGCACCCAAGTCCTTTATCTTTACGGTAGGGGTGTAGTGTCTTGACCATGGTTATTAAAAGGCTAACAGAAGAGCACTTAGCATATACTATATGCTCAATAAAGGTTACTAAAACTACTTGTAATTGTATGTGGAAGAATTGTTTCCCCGAGCCTGGTTTTTAGATGCTGCTGACCAGGACTGTGTGAGGCTTGCAGTTGAAGCATCCACACCTAATCTCTCACTTGCCTTTTGGCCACAGGACAAGAGGACCAGGGCCTGCCCAGACCCTGTCTCCCCATCAGGTGACAGCAGAGCCCAGCCTCGTGTCAGGCTTGAATTCTGCCCCTGTTCCTGACCTTCCAGGTCCTTGGCCTAAGCCACAGTTACTTCTCCTATGCTGTAGAGGGTGGTCCCACCCCTTAGGCTCATGGGGAGGTTGAGGCAGATGAGTGCTGTAAAGCACACTCTGTACTGGGCCTCGACCCTACAATTCGTCCAAGGCAGCTGCTGTCTTTAACATTCCTGTCCACTCCCAGGTCCCTGCGACTCTCCTCTGGGAGCGAGTTCGGCAAGAAGTACCCACTGATCAGAGCAAGCTACGAGTCCAAAGGAAGCCGGGGTCTCTTTATCCTGGGCACTGCCAGCCACTCGGTAGACTACCGGAAATCGGCAGGGGGTTTCATCCATGGCTTCCGGTACACAGGTGAGGCCAGCCAGGAGGTCTCCAGTCCCCAGGAAGAACCACTGTCATTATGCCCAGGGCCTCAGACATGCTGTCCATTCCCAGGAGTGAACAGTGCTTCCTATCATAATGTTCCTGTGCAGTGCAGATGATCCTGGTTTTCATACCATCAGCTAAGGTGTAAAAGGTACCCGTGGGGTGGCAGGGTTGTGGTTATGGCCAGTGCCGGCTGAATAGTGCAGCGCTTGACTGTGGTCTTCGAGGTCAGGCTTTCACCCCTCACCTTCTGCTGGGGATACCATTGGATGTGTCCAGGAAGTGGCCTCTCTGTCCTCATAGGCCACTGTGAGGGCCACAGAAGGTCACAGCTGGGCATCAGGCAGCTGTGAAGCGTCACGCACATGTAGACCTGTTGGGTGATACAGATGTCAGTGAGAGTTGCAATTGGAGCCGCACGCGGTGGCACACACCTGTGATTCCAGCACTTGGGAGGCTGAGGCAGGAGGATCGCCCTAAAGTTCAAGCCCAGCCTGCGCTACATAGTGAGAGTCTATCTCAAAGAAAAAAGCTGCAATTGGATTATATTGATTAGTTCTTTTGCAAAACTCAGAACTAAAAGTATAAATTTTGTACTTACTTGAAACTTTTGCGGGGCCAAGGAGGTGGCTCAGTAGAATAAGCACTTTCCTGGCTAGCGCAAGGGCCTGAGTTCAATCCCTGGTTCCAAAAAAAAAAAAAAAAAAAAAAAGTTTGCATGTAAAATTCAGAAACATATTTTATTTTATTTTTTTATTTTTTATTTTTTTTGGCAGAACCGGGGATTGAACTCAGGCCTTTGTGCTTGCCAGGGAAGCGCTTATTCCACTGAGCCATCTCCCCGGCCCCTTTTTTTTGGTTTTTTTTTTTAAGGGCAAACAGAAAGTAGAAAATGAGAGAAAATAAGCTGGGGAGAAAGCTCAGCAGCTTAAGTGCCTGCCTGGCAAGCACAAGGTCCTGGGTTCAATCCTCAGTACCAAAAACAGAAAAAATCCTATCTCATTTCATTGTCACCAGCTTGGTTCAGACATTCTTTGAAAATGAGAGAGAGGGCCGGCCAGATAGCTCAGCAGACTAAAGCACCTGCTTAGGCAGATGCAAGTGCTAAGCTGGCCCCGCCCCCAGGCTGTGCCGAGACTGGGCGCGGTGGCACATGCCTGTAATCCTAGCACTGGGGAGGCTGAGACAGAATCATGTAGAGTCAGAGCTGTGTAGTGAGACCCTGTACCAAATAAATAAATAATAAACAATAAACTGTTTGCGATCGGTGGTTGTAGAATAAGCCTTCGAGTATAAGACATTCACTTAGGGCTCTGAAGGCTTCTGTTTTGTGTAACCTAAATCCCTAGTCCTGGTGGCAGAGAGCGAAGAAAATGATAGTTATGTGCTGTGACTCTCCTCTAAGCCCGGCTGCGCAGGAAGCTAAGGCAGAAGGACGGCACATTCAGGGCCAGCCTGCGTAACAGCAAGAGCCTGTCCCAAACTAAGGTAAAAATTCTGAAGTGGGTTGGAGATTAGGTCAGTAGCAGAGCACTTGCCCAGTACGTGAAAATACAAGTTGGTGGTATAGCACCTGATGGCATAAAATAAAGGGCTGGAGACATAGCTCAGCGGAACGGTGCCTCCTGGCAAGTGCAAGGTCCTGAGTACGAGTCTCGGGTCCAGAAAAAAAAGTCTTGTTTTTTTTTTTTTTTTCAGATCATCATCTGCTTCTATGTGTTTGGTTGCTGGGAATATTATTAGGGGTGTGGTGTTTATTAATATGTGAAAATAAAAGTTACTAATACTAGAGCAGCTATGAATGTGAGCATAAGAATGTTAACTTTTTTGTTCTTGAATTGTGATTGCATTTGGGTACAACCGGTGAGTGGAGCTCAGCTCCCTAGGAGTAGCAGAATGATAAAGGGCATAGAGATGGTGGTGCTTTGTTTTGTGAGTGTGACGAGGATAAGGTTACAGTGTTTTAAGTCAAATATGAGTAATGTAGTTGTTAATGTGACATAAACCTCAATTTTTCTGAGGAAGTGCCTGAGAATCAGAGTTTTAATGATTTCCTCACTTTCATAGGAATTGAACTGCAGACTCGGGCCCTTTTTTCCAACCGTCTTCTCTTCATTCTCAAAAGCAGACCAGAGTCCCTCCTGTAGGAGGAGCAGTCTGGATGGTGGCTGTTCCCTGTGCTGTCACTCAGCTGGTGGGGAGTGACAGCCTCTGGCCGGTAGCTTTTGCCTAAACTCATTTAAGCGGCCTTAGAAATGAGCTGGTGATCCTTTTAAGTCCTCACTTCCTTTCCAAACAGGAAGTGGTTGCAAAGGTCCTGCAATAGCCTCATGTCCCCTGCCCCTGGTGGCAGCTGGGGTGGCTTCTCAGGCTGTTGTGTGGAAGTTGTAGTGTGGGTGGCAGCTGCTACATAGAGGCCCTGTGCCCCGCTACCCGACTTCTCCATACGTGTGCGATCCACCATCTCATGCTGCCTTCATGCCTGTGTTTACATGTTACCGTCTTGCCAGCTTGGAGGAGGAAGATAATCGTGTTTCGCTGGTGATTTCCAGGGGGTAGCTCTTTTACCCCACGTGTATTGTTAGGGAAGGGGACCTGGCACAGAGCTCTGGCCATTTGTAAGCCACAGTGACTGCCAGGCCGTCCCAACCCACGCCGAGGCCCTCCCTGACCTGGCCGAGCTGTCCTGTCTGTCCTTCCGCCTCTGTCCCCTGCTCTTCCCAGCTCACACACCTCACCCTCAGCCCTGTGAGACAAAGCCTGCTACTTCAGCTCTGCTCTCTGGTGGCCAGAGAAGTTAGGGAGTGGCAGAGGTGGCGCTACCTGGGTCCAACCTAAAGCTTACACACCAGCACTGAACTTCAAGCAGGAGAGAGGGAGGCCTCAGGGCATGGGCTGTGGTCCTGAGCAGTGGACGGGCCCCCTGGGAGAGGGACAGTGGTAAGTCTGTCCCTCACTGTAAGGATCTGCCTGGTCCTTGCTCATTGTTCAGCTGAGGGACAGTCTCAAAGGAAACAAGACAAAAAGGCAGAAGACAGTGACAGAGACAAAGGTGGTGGCATAGACCCCCAGCGTGTGGGAGGCAGCGCATATGAGAAGCCTGGTGCATGCCCTCTAAATCCCTCTGTAAGAGGCAGACAGCTCCTGCCTTGCCCTCACGTGATGGGCCTCTCCACTCCTCCTGACTGGCCACCCTGTCACTAGGCATACTGACTTCCCATCAAAAATGCAAAAACCAGGCTGGGGAGATAGCTCAGCAGTCTAAGCATCTGCCTGCCTGGCAAATGCGAGGTCCCAAGTTCGATCCCAGGTATGCTGGGTGTGGTGGTGCACGCCTGTAATCCCAGCATTGGGGAGGCTGAGACAGAAGGATCACTTTGTGAAACTGCGCAGTGAGACCATTTATCAAATAAAAGGAAAAAAAACAAAACAAAACAAAAAAAAACTTTTTTTTCCAAGTACTGGGCCCAGAACCCATGGCCTGGCACAGACGAGGGAAGTGCAGTACTACTGAGGTGCAGCCCCGGTGTTTTTCACTGTTTGTACTGGAATGGGGGGGGCTCTCCCTAAGTTGCCCACGTTGGCCTTGAACTTGTGATCCTCCAGCCTGTGCCTCCTGAGTAGCACGGGTTCCGGGTGTGTGCCTCCATGTAACCTCCATGGCTCTGAGTAACCTTTCTTTAAACAAGCCCCTCCCCCACCGAGCTCCCCCTGCGCGGGCTCCCAGCGCCTCAGCAGCCTGGCGTGCTCTGCCGGCCATGTTAGCTCGTCATCCCTGCCTTTCCCCTCACCTCCTCCCCGTGTGTCTCATATTAGAGGCTAACATCTCCCGGGCTCCTGGCCCCCAGGGGTCCTGTGCAGGTGAACCCTCTGCCTGTGTCCTGGTCTCTAGTGCAATGGATGTTTTACTGATTACTTTTGCGGGAGCAGCTGACTGTATACACTGCATGTACGGTAACCCCAGAGGTACAGAAAACCATCTTCCTGATGCACAGAGCACCTGAAAATGGAACTGAAGGACTGACTGGATTTGGGCTCCGAGAGAGGGCAAATCTGAGACTTTCCACATGGGAGTCTGTGGTGGAAATAGGGCCGTGAGGAGGGGACGGGGGCCCTGTGCTGAGTCTGGAGCACCTACATGAGGTGTCCGCAGCTGGACTTCCATACAGATGGCCCCACTCACAAGTGGACATGCTCAGGGCTCTGGCCCGTAGCCAGCCGCACCCATTCTCTGACTCTTCCACCCAAGGGATGGCTCTGAATGTGTCCCTGCGCGGTGCACTGCCACAGTGGGGGCCGCCGCTGCCTGGCCCTCAAGGCAGAGCCTCGCCAGCCCCGCTGTAACGGCCCGTGCTCCTGCTGGGTGAGCACAGGTGAGGCCTTGCTCACAGCTGCTGCCCTTCCTCCTCCCCTGGCCACTGCAGTGCGCGCCGTGCACCGGCTCCTGGAGCATCGCCACCACGGCACCGCCTGGCCCTGCACCGAGCACCCCATTACTCAGCTGACCAACTCCATCGTCCGGCGCATCAACGAGGCTTCCGGGCTCTACCAGATGTTCGGGGTGCTGGCAGATATCATCCTGCTGAAGGAGTGAGTGGCGCTTCCCTGCCTGCCTGCCTGCCTGCCTGCCTGCCTGCCTGCCTGCCTGCCTGCCTGCCTGCCTGCCTGCGCCCCGCCTCCCCCGAACACCCCGCGCTGCATTGCTTTCTCTGCTCTGTGCAGCATAGCCCAGCGTCCCTTCTTAGAGTGGGGCCTGCAGGGGACAAATGTCTGTCCTGGAGTTAAGAGTTCCCTCTAGCTGGGGCCAGTTGGTCCTGGTTTTTATCAGCCAGGCAAACAGTGGCAGTCAGTGCCCAAGAAGGACACAGTACAGAGCACAGCAGGGACGGGGCTGGTGGGGGAGGCCAGGACCCAGGGGGCAGGGCAGGCGAGCAGAACAGGAACTGTCAGCCAGAGAGAGCGCAGCGTGATCCACGCCCTCCAGGGCCACGAGAGGAAGCTTTGTGCTCAGTGCAGGAGCTGACCTCACATCACTCTGAGCCCCTTTCCCATCAACACCATACTGAGGGCAGAGCCTGCCAGCGCACCTTCTAAAGTCTGACCAGCGTGGCCAGCTCCGCTGCCCTCATCCAGCCCCTCATGCAGCCCTGGTCTGTCCTTGCATGGCAGCTGGGGTACTCCCTGGAGAGGAGCAGTCGCTGAGTGGCCTCTGTTCCATACTGTGGGGGCCAGCAGCTCCTTCTCATCCTGGGAACCCCTATTCCCAGGAGGCGCACACAGCCCTGGCCCCTGAGACCTTCTGAGTCCCTCCTGCTCCCTGCCCTCCTCACCACAAGGCGTTCCTCCTTCGCTCCTTCGGCCTCTCCCTCATTGTCCTCTGGGCCTGCAGCGCTCGCTCCCAGATGCTGGGGTTGCAGTTTGTGAAATGTGTCCCAGGTAGAAGAGAAGGCAGCGGTCACAGCGATGGGAGCAAGGCGGGGTCCACACTGCACCCTGGGGCTGGTGGGAGGGACGCCCCACCTACGAAGCCTGCTTCTCCCCTCCGCACTTGCCCCGCCCAGGAATGCCACGAGGTTTGAGTACCTGGAAGAGTTTCCCATGCAGATGCTAGCCCAGCTGGAGACCCTCACAGGGAGGACGGCCAAGCACGGCCTTTTTGTCATCAACATGGAGTATGGCAAAAACTTCTCAGGGCCTGACAAGGACGTCTTCTTTCAAGACCGTTCCGTGGGGCACACGGAAGATGCCTGGCAGTCGAACTTCCTCCACCCTGTCATCTACTACTACAGGGACCTCCCCACCGGTGAGCCGGGACTTCCTGGGGGTGGTGCCTCTTGTATCTGTGGTCCTTAGCGTTGTCACCAGTCAGCCCTTGCAGAGCTCCTTCAGCTGACAGAAGGGGACCCCTGGGGAACTCTGCCCAGAGACCAGGCGGGAGCAGAGGGTCTGAAAATGGTGAATGCTGATTGTAGATTCTGCCACCTGTTGTGACCTGATGGGCCACCCTGGAGTGCAGTGACTCCAGGCACCACACTGAAAGAGGGACAGTGTCGGAGCAGCTGGCCACAGTGAGGGATGGGAGCCCGTAGGCCAAATATTAAACTGAAGGGGATCGGGAACCCAAGCTGGTAAACAGTATACAAAAGCTGGCTGAAACTCCCAGTGCTGTTGCTGTGTGACATGGGCAGCATCAACTTGCAGGAGGAGAGGGGTGTGGGTCTGTACTGAATATGGGTGAAATAGTTGGCTTGAGCCAAGCTCCCGGTATAGGGCCAGTCGGGTGTCAGCTCGGTGGCCAGTTGACCAGGCACTGTGGAGGAGGGTCCGCGGCAGCAGGAGGTGGGACTCTAAGACACTGTCCGTGCAGGGCTCACAGCAGGACCGGTTTTCAAGCAGCCACGATGGCCTCCCCACATGTCTCACTACTTTCACGTTATCGGTCTCAGCCGCCCTCTGGAATCAGCGCAGCCCTTGTCCTCTTCCCCGCATCAGTTTCCAGGGGTCAGAAGGCAGTAGTAAATGAGCTGCCGGGTGTCAAGAGCGTACTGGGTGAGCTGGGGGTGGTGGCACATGCTGTGATCCAGCACTCGGGAGGCTGAGGCAGGAAGATGGCTGTGAGTTCAAGGCCAGCCTGGGCTACGTAGACTTCATCTCTCAAAAAAAGCATGGTGGGATGTTGAGACATGCAGGTGACAGGGCTGGCTGTGACGTGGCGCCTCTCCCCTCTACCAAACCCCAGAGCAGGAGGTGAGGTTCCGCCCGGCCCACTGGGCCCTGCCTAGGCCCACAGCCATCCACCACATTGTGGAGGACTTCCTGACAGACTGGACCGCCCCCGTGGGGCACATCCTCCCACTGAGGCGCTTCTTGGAGAACTGTCTGGACACCGACCTGCGAAGTTTCTATGCAGGTAACTCGAGTTCCCAGGAGTCGGGAAAGTGTGGGAGATCCATGATGCTGTGTAGCTGCTTCAGACTCCAATCTCAGAATCCAAACTGCTGGGCTAGAAGCTAGCTGAGGCCCCTTTCCAGCACAGTATCCCTAAAACTATGGAACAGTATGTCCTCCTTAAAAACTGGACAGGAAACTGGGTGTGATGGTATATGCCTGCAATCCCAGCACTCGGAGGCTGAGGCAGGAGGATCGCTGTGAGTTTGAGACTACCTTGGCCTACATAGTGAGTTCAAGGACAGCCTGAACTGTGTAACAAGACCCTATCTCAAAAACACCAAAATTAAAAAAGAAAAAAGAAAAAAAAAAACTGGAGAGGAGCCAGGCCTGGTGGTCCACCCCTGTAGTCCTAGCCCTTGGTGAGGTGGTCCTTTGTTTCTGCAGTACTGGGGAGTGAACCCAGCCATATTCCCAGCCCTTTTTTATTTTGAGACAGGTTATCTCAAAACTTGCCAAGACTGGGCTCAAACTTATGATTCTCTTGCCTCAGCCTCCCAGAATTCTGGGATTACAAGAGTATACCACTGCTCCCAGCTCACTCTGGTGCTTGGGAGGCTGAGGCAAGAAGATTGCAATGTGGGTTACAAAACTAGTTCAAGGATGGCCTGAAATATATAGCAAGAGTATACCTCAGGGCCAGCCAAATAGCTCAGCAGATTAAAGCGCCTGCTTAGGCAGATGCAGCAGCCAGAGTTCAATCCCCGGCATGCTGTTCTGGCCCCACCCCTGGGGGGCTCTGAGACCGAAATCGAGACTGGGCATGGTGACACGAGCCTGTAATCCCAGCTCTTT